ACCCTCAAGGCCCCATTTCCGTACTTCCTTGATTATCTTGGACATATTAATGCTCATAGTAAATGATCAGGTCTTGAAATTCCTGATAACAAAGCTTCTATCAGCAAACAAAGCTTGAAAAGTGTGACTATACTAGAGAACAGAGTGGAATATAAGGGAAGCAGTTAAGAGAGCAAACAAAAGGACAAAAGAAAGAGCTCCAACTTGAACCATGTTCACAATCATGCAGTGCTACCATTTTTGTTCTTACCTATATGAGATTAGAGAACTAGTGTGAATTTCAAGGTGATATGATCAGGGTGAAATGGCTGTCCAAAAAGGCAAGGTAACAATTCAGAGCTGGGTATTTAGGGAATAAATGGTGATACTTCCAAGCCAACACAAAATTTCCTGTTTTTAGAATTTAAAATCTCAAGTTATGACTGCAACACACCTTATTTTTTAATTCATAATCAGTCATTTCCCCCAAAGATTTTCATCTATGTATTTTACAAACACTGATTAATTCCTTGCACAAATGTCTTTGTTTTAAGTTTCCCTTGTCAAGATATGGAACTCTCGTGGCACAGTGGTTAAGGAATTCGGCTGCTAATGAAAAGATTGGTGGTTTGAACCCACCAGTTGTTCTGCAGGAAAAACATGAGGCAGTATGCTTCTTTAAAGATTTACAGCCTTGGAAACCATATGGGGCAGTTGTACTCTGTCATATAGGGTAGCTATGTGCCAGAATCAACTCAATGGCAGTGTGTTTGGTTGTCAAGATACCCAAATATTTTTGCAAAGCATTAGCCTATGATGAGTAATGACAAATATAGCACTATTGAGTAAGAACATCGAATACATTATTTTGGTCCTTGTGTGCCTTTGGCAGGAAAAGTTGTTGGCTCATCTGCCATGACATCACCTTGTTTCTGAAGAGAGTGGCATCTGTGCTCTGGCTACTCAATTACTAACTACATTTGCAGCTTAGAACTTACTCTGGAAAATCAGGGGAAATATGCTTGTGTCTATAAGCTAGGAACAAGCTCTAGTGTTCAAGTTCATAGTCACAATGAGAATAAATGATGATATCTTATCTACTTCCTTGTCAACTGGAGTACTTTAAAATAAGTGCTCTTTTCTGGCCATCCTCAAGGAATATTTTTATTGATAACTGGCAAAAATCTAAAAAGACAAGTTTATCAAATTTTCCTAACTAAAATACTCTGCAACTCCCTATTGGGTAACAGAACTATGTTGGACCTTGAGATACAAAGGTAAAGAATGCACAGGTCCTTGTTCTCAAGAAGCTTATGGGCTCATGTAGTTAAAATAAAATACATGCAATGTATAATCAATAAGATGACAGAATCAAGATAGAAAAATATCCTGACACTTAGTAATGGGACAAAATAGGAAATGACATTTAAGGTAAAGTTCAGATGCTCAAAACACATTATGTAACTACAAAATGCAGTGTTTGATCCACAAATTACCCCCTCACCAGTAAGCACCTGCATGCACATACACATATAAACCAAACCAAACTCACTGCCATCAAGTCGATTCTGACTCATAGCAACCACTTTGGGTTTCCGAGGTGGTAAATCTTTATTTAAGTAGATTGCCCAGTCTTCCGTAAATCTTTATTTAAGTAGATTGCCCAGTCTTCCTTCCATGGGCGGAGTGGCTGGTGGGTATGAACCACCAGCCTTCTGGTTAGCAGTCAAATGCCTTAGGCACTATGCCACTAGAGCTCCTTCATACACATATAGACACCTGAATTCTAATTTTATGATGATTCTCTTACATAAGTTTCCTAAAACAATACAATTTACTCTAGAGCACAATTAGATGAGACAGTAGTAGTATTTTCCTTGGTTTGTATACAATATTTCTATCGATTCATTATTTTATACTAGCTTTTCTAGCAGCCATTTCACATAGATAACATTCATACTTTCATGGAGTTGTACTTAGCTAAAACCTACAAATCTTTCTTATATAAGCTGTCATCAATGATAGCAAAGTATCTGCATATCATATTATACAGAAAGATTAAAGGCACTAAAGACACTTGGCTTAAAAAGAAGATCTGGAGGTGGGTGGTGGAAGGAGAGGCATATAACAGCTGTGGATGAATGCCTCTGAGCTGCTAACATAGGGCCCAACTTAGTTCCGTGAAAATTAAAAAAGAAGAAAAATTTTGGCCCAATATGAAGAACTCCTAATACCTTGGGCTTTTCAACAATGAAGTGCCTTACACACTGGAGAACTCTATGAGTGACAGAGGTCAAGCAAAGATGAATGACCACTTGTTAAGAAAATCCTAGTATTTTGAGAATTCCACCAAATTCTCTTATTTGGTGGAAATGTGAGGCAGATCTCTAAGGTTCTGCCTATCTTGGAAAAGCGTGTGGCTACCTTGCTGGATGCAGGCAAGTGTATTAAGAAAATATCCACCACACCACAGTTACTTTAATAGCAATCAAGTCAGAAACCAGACTCACTGCCATCAAGTCAGATTCGACTCATAATGACCCCTCCTTGGGTTTCCAGGCAGTATCACTATGGCAATAGATTGCCCAACCTTCCTTCCAAGGAGTGGCTGGTGAGTTTGAACCACCAGCCTTCTGGTTAGCAATCAAATGCCTTAGGCATTATGCCATCAGAGCTCCTTCAACAGCAATAGGTGTTGAAATAAAAGCAGAAACAATAAGGCCAGGAACAAGTGAATCACCACTGAACTTCATGTAAGACCTAGAAGACTCTGTGACTTTTAGCTGATTGTCAGAAGAGGTACTAGGAGGGAGACCAATGATGGCCAGCCTACCTTAATATGAGTCAACAATTGTCCAGTGCACTACAATAGAACACTCCCATTCCCACTGACTGCAAAGAGGGATGTACCATTTCAAAGGTTCTGCTCTTTTATTGCTGCCTAAAATTAAGGCAATATTTAGACCCTTTCCCCCAATGTCCTCCCTATTTACTCCTTTTTTCAGTGCACAGTGAATGTCAAAACTTCAAGAATCTGCAATGTCCTTCAGTATCTGGGGAAAGTATGAAAAGAGAAGGCTGGGCTGATCTGGTAGGTCTATTCAGAAGGGCATACTGGCCCAATCACTTCCCTCAGGTCCACTCAAACTTCCAAGATGGGCTGTATCTAACATGTTTTTATCTGTGCCTTAGATTTGTGAAACATGCAAAAACATGTTTATCATACATAAGCTGCACATAGTTATCATTAAGAAATTTACAAGACCAGGAACAACACGACAGCCAATTTTAAAGTTTCATTCTGGGGCATTAGGGAGGACAAGCCTCAAGTTATACATATATCCTGTGAACTCAGTTGCCAATCTTAAACCGTATTCCAGAAATACTCCATGTTTAAAGATATAATCAATCAATAAATATACACCAAGAGACTACTGTGATCAAGAATTTATAGTAGTTTCAATGAAAGGCAAATGTCCTTCCCAGCCTCCCTAAGTTTTGATCATTTGTTATTGTCAGGGAACAATATGATTTAAATAATACCCAGTGAGAAAGAAGGGCTGCTTATGCACAGGGAGACAGCTCAGGGAGCAGGAGTGCATGGAGGGATGGACACAGGGAAGAGGTAACTATTGGGAGGAAGTGGGAGGGGAGCTGTTGCATTGTGGTAAAATGTGGTCAATGTCATGAGACAAAGTATATGTGAACTGCTGTATGGAAAGTGAATTTGCTCTGTAAATTTTCACCCAAACCACAACAAAAAAACAGTGGCTCTTTTATAATTCTATATATTCTAGGAAGTCAAACTCAAATTCTTTCATTAGTACCTTCAACAAAGGTAACTGAAGTAAAAACTATGTTTCAATCATTCCCATACAACTGTCACACCAAAGGAAAGATAAAGCAAAGAAACTTTTACTGATGTCAAACGATGAAACCAACTCTGAAGGATTTCATCATCTAAGAGAGGTATCCTACAGTTGCACCCTCCTTAGGGTTGCTAACTAGCAACATTTGCTTAGTCAAGATACTTTTCTGGAAGCCAGAGAGATAACTGAGAACTTTTAGGTAAAAAAACAAACTTTTTTTTTTAATTAGAAACTTGATTTTTAAAAATTCCCAAAGGTCATAGGTTACTATAATCATATGACTAGCTCTTATAAATTAGTGAGGACAGACAGATGACAGTGTTATGGTACTATATTTCAGAATGTGTATTTTTAGACTGTCCTTAAAATACATGTATAGTCTCAACGTGGTAAAATATAGTTTGCAAACTACCAACCTTTCTTTTCTTTTGGTATACGTAAACAAATGAAAAGATAATGAACGAACTACCAAAAAGCAAAAGCTCATACTATGTAAGTTTCAGGCAGGTAAAAAAATTCCAAGGTAGGTCTGTGGGCAGTCGTGGCATCAAAGATCCCCAAACAACTCTACTGCCCTTCTAGGAGCAAAAGAGCAAGTAGCTTTTTTGTTGGCGATGTTTATTTACCTATCCAGCAAGCAAGGCAGATACATGGTCCAGTAAAAAGAATAAACCAGACAAGAAAATTTGCGTATTTAGAATGGTAAGACTTGTCTCACATACTTTGGAGAAAAGGACATCACGCTTGGTAAAGTTGAGGATCAGAAAAAAAAAAAAAAAGAAAAGAAAGAAAGACCCTCAAACGCAATGAACTGACACAGTAGCTGCAACAATGGGTTCAAACATAGCATCAATTGTGGGATGACACAGGACTAGGCAGTGTTTTTATCTGCTGTACCTAATTGCTATGACTTGGAACTGATTTGATGGCACCTGGTAGCGTAGTGCCTAAGGCACTTGGCTGCTAACCAGAAGGCTGGAGGTTCAAACCCACCAGCCACTCCTCGGAAGGAAGGCTGGGCAATCTACTTCCACAGCGATACTGCCTTGGAAGCCCAAGGAGGGGTTGCTATGAGTCCGTCTGACTCGAGGGCACATAACAACAACAACTAAGACACATGCTAAATAAATGGCGAGAAAAGATATGACTTACCTGCACTGCCAAGCTGTTTATAAAACCTGTATTCTAAATGAAGCTGTGGTGCACGTGATTTTATTGGTTCCTGAAACCCAAGAAGAGTAATTGTGATCAGATTTAAACAAATGGGACTTTTCTACTCCTAAATTTCAGAGGAACCAGGACTAAGAATTATATAATGCTTTAGAGATAATATCCGTATGTGATTGTATTTTCTTACCACAATTTACTTGGAAAGCACAACTAAAGAAAACAAAACTAAATTATATATAATATCTTCCAGAGATACTGAAATGAAACTAAACTTCCTGAGTAAACTGTCATTCAAGGATAGAGCCCTTATTCTGAAATATATTCTCCTAGGAAACCAGAAGGAGTTCTGGTGGAGTGACATATTTCCTTCTTATTTTATTATGAATTTTGGATAGTAAAGTTTTAATATTTTTAGAAAAATGATGCATACACAAAAATCAAAAAGAAAGTAAAAATAAGCCTGAAATTCTATCACTTAAAGAGAACTACTATTAATAGTGACTATACTTCCAAGTGCTTCTTTATACCTAAATTTTTATATAAAATGACTCATAAATGTTTTTATATAAATGAGATCATACTGTATTTGCTGTAGTATAGTGTGCTTCTCTTTGAAGTCAACAATGGGATTACACTATCTTTCTAGGGCAGTATCACTATATACCATTTTTAATGTCTGTAGTATTCATCTATATGTATGTAAATATATCCGTAGTTTTTGGACATTTGGATTGTTTTCAGCTTTCAATAATATGAATAACGATGCTAGGAACAATCTTGCGAATATTCCTTTTTACACTCAAGAGAATTAAAGATTGTAAATGCAACTAAAATATGTAATTTTTTCCAGTGTGGTGTTTAAGTTTTCAAAAAAAGTTTTCTAAAGACTCCAGAGAAAAAGCAAGCAACAACCACAGTGCTCTAGTTCAAACTTCAAGAATGGACAGGTTTATTATTCTACATTGACAGCATACCAGACAACTAGCTAAGACAACCAAACATTACCCTAAAAGAGATAATCTCCTTAAAGGATCATCCCTTTTGTATAAATAATAAACAGAATTATCACAACATTATTATGATGTTTCTTTAAAAATGCAGCACATAGTTACCTAATATTATTTATTATTATAGTAACTATTTTTAGAAAAAGGAGTAAGAATTGTATTTCATTGGAAACTCATTTGCTTTTTGGCTCCACTGTCAGTTCTGTTCTAAGACCATCATCCTTTAAGACCATGCCAAAAACAGATATAAAAAATTATCACAGGGACTAGAGTGCCTCTGGGAAGTCATTTAGTTCATTTCTCTAGTTCCAAGTAGATCAGATGATTACTCATCTTATTTTTAAGAGTCCAAGGAAGGAGATTCCACAGCCTCCCTTGATTAATTCATGCCAGGGTTTAACAAGTTTTATGATTTAGAAAGTCTTTATATTTAGTTCAAATCTCCACTACCGAAACTTAAGCTTATTTCTCTTATGTCATCATTAACAAAATAAAATTCTCAATAGTATGAATACTATAAGTGCTATCTTCAAAAAACAGAACTAGTCAATCATTTCTTAGACTTCCTTTCTCCAGGCAAAGTAATTTCAATTCCTTTAACCTTTCCTCACTGATCCTATTTTTTAGTTCTTTGATCATTTTTGAAGGCTTTTTCCTGAAACTACTTAAGTTTTCTGCACTTAAGACACAGAATCCAAAAAATCACAGAATTCAGGAGTTTTCTTGAAGTTATCTAGTCTATCTTTCTGCTTCCCAGAAGGTTTTATCTAAATCACTTCATCCAGGCAGACTGGAGTATTTCATATCGCTAAATGGTTATATGAAAGAAGAACTCATACTCTTCTTTGATTGTAAAATCAGCAATCATTAGAGTTGAACTCCAAATATCTTTAGATTCTTGTAGTCAAAAGAAAAGCATCTAAGATTAATTATATTGTACAGTCATTTCCTTATTCATTTATCTCCTCAGATGAAAAGGGATCATTCTTTAAATTCTCCAGTTGGTTGTAGGTCTCCTATTATATCAAAGCAGCAAGTAACAGAATTTGTCCTAATATGAATTAGAATTACTGTCCTAATAATTCACAAAGAACCAAGGAAGAACAGTGATGACAAATAATATGGAACCCAAAAGAGGTTGACACAAACACCAAAAAGAGGAAATAGCCTTTAGCTTCTGACAAACCACAAAGGACAACAAATTGAGAAACCATGTAACCTTCTTTAAATATTATACTTTCAAGTTTTATATTGGAAAACCTTAATAGGAAATATTCAACCCGATCTTGGGTTAATTAAACTGGCAGATTAAATAAATAAATGCAAAATTCTTCAGAGAATTTTTGGCCAAAAGTGGGCCTACATCTCACATATATTCAGACAGAAACCACCCCCTTCAAAAAGAAAAAAACCAAACTCACTGTGGGTTGAGTCCATTCGACTCATACTGACCCCTCCCCGCTCCTTGGGTTTCTCCAAGGAGTTATCTCTACTGGGATTGTCCAGTCTTCCTTTCCAGGAGTGGCTGGTGGGTATGAACTGCCAAACTTCTGGTTAGCAGTCAAATGCCTTAGGCACCATGCCACCAGAGCCAAAGGGCTTTTTAGTTGCAAATGGAAGGGCTAACACCCTTCAGCCAAACCCTTCAGCATATGGCTGTAGCCTGCTCACTCAAGCGGCAAGTCAAGGTCTTTTTCTGGAGGCACTAAGAACAGAGGGCACTGCAAACACTTAATCTACAGCTAGTGAGAAGACAGCAATATTAGCAGCATGGAGAGAAAAACTTTTTTTTTAAATTGTTAGAAAGCCTCTGTTAAAAAGAGCCCTAAAAACATAGTGATGGATAAAGGAGGGATTATTTATACTATTTTGTTTACTTTGTGTATGATTTTTTCTTTATAAAGGGCCCTAGAAATCTAAGAAATAACTAAGTGCTCATGGTGAAGATCCAAGCAAAGTAGAACTGAAACGTCAGTAGCATGGCTTCCTTGCATTTCTATGCCAGATGCCGATTACATTTTCATAGAGCGCTGACTAATTGCCAGAATCATGGTTATTCTGGAACACACATGCCTGCCTGAAATCCTAAACCAACAACAGACCTTGTAGGAGTGTAACACTTAAGGCAAATTTTGCTATAACAATGAAAAGAGCTCAATTACAGCCCTCATATCTCCTTTGGAGAATACAAATCCAACAACAAGAGTTTAGGCCCGTAGACAATATGGTTAGCCTCTAAATGGCTTCAAACTTATTTCAGATAGAAATGAGGTACTGGGATACATGATACTTCTAGATGATATAAAGAAGTCTACATTTAATTATTGGTCATACAAAGTTCAAAAGTTTAATAAAATGAAAGGGAAATGCAATGGTCTATCACGTCCAGTCATTTTCTAATGTTTTTATTTTGTAAGGTAGGACTGTGAAAGGTATAGAATTAAAAGAATAGTAACTCTTCCAGCTATTTTTCTTTTTTTTTTTCCCCAGCTATTTTTCATAAACTAATTTTTGATTCATCATTGCTAATAGATAGCATTATCTTACTACATAGTGTGACACAGATATATTCGGATTCATCACTGACATAGTTGAAGGAAAATGACTAAATAGGATCATATACAAGGAAAAAAGCAGCATTAATATTTTTTCTAAGTGCTTACAACTATTTCCTGTAGAAGGGTATGTGAGGGGTGAGGGACCCAAAACATAACGACCACAAATATAGATTCTACTTACCAGTTTGATTGCTACATATTCATTGGTGTAGAGATTCTTACCTAGGGAAAAAGCAGAATGTTTATATTTCAGGACATTTATTCTGGGAAATGCAAAGCTAAATCTTAACTCATAGAGTCATGAGAAAGGTCATACTCCCAATGCTGTTCACATGTATGAAACATGAAGTACAAGTGAAAAGCTAGACAGAGATTTATAATGAGACCTAGCAAATAAAGAACAAAAACAACATGAGATTTTGGAAATTTGACACAATTTTTTTTTAAGAGAAAACAAATCAATCTCTCTCTCTAATACACACACATACACCACATACATGTCTTATTATTTCCCAACTATTAAGACATGAATCAATAAAGGAGCAATGTCAGAATTTCAAAGATACAAAAATTTTTAACTCTTAGCACAAACTCACATTCTGCAAATTTACTGACAAACGGGGATTTTCTTTTTTGTTTCATGATATTTAATAACTTTAGAGGACATAAAAGATAGAATAAAATAAAACCAATTACTTCCCATCTCTCCTCTTGCAGAACTCATCAACTATCTAGCTGTTTTGACTGTTCACCAGAATTCTACCTTTACAGATCTCTACCTATACTACATCATCATCTTAAAGTTCTTCCTGGACTGATAACAATTCTCCCCCTTAACTTCCCTACCTCTTTAAACTGAATAAAAATTCTCTCAGACATGTAGACTAAGGACCTGGAATGATAATGGGAATGGGGATGAGAGTAACTAGTATCATTCACTGAGCCCATATTACATGTTAAATACTTAACTCCCTTCACCCTTCCACCCTCCCTGATCCTAGGAACTCTGGTGGCCTAGTGCCTAAGGCATTTGACTGCTAACCAGAAGGCTGGCTGTTTAAACCCAACAGCCACTCCTCGGAAGGAAGACTGGGCAATCTACTTTCGTAGTAATACTGCCTCAGAAACCCAAGGAGGGATCCAACTCTAGGCAGTGAGTTTATTTATTTATTTATTTTGTCCTTAAAGGTTCCTCCCGAGTGTTTAGTATGTATCATATAGTTTAATCACTGAATGGGACTTCATATTGTTTTTTAGTCCTTCTTATATGTTTGCACTATCTTATCCAGCTAGACTACAAATATCTTGAGGGTAAGAATTTTATCTAATAGTTCTCTTAAGCCTTATGGTGCTTAAGACTATGTTCTGCACATATAAGACACTCAAAACTTTGACTGATTAAAAGTTATTGCTATGTGTAGCATGGCTACTTTTTAAATAACACTCACAAGTAAATGTTTCATAAATATATAATATATATACAATATAGAAAAGGATTAGAAAAGTGTACATTAAGATATTAAAATAGTTGTTTCTTAGTATTTTGATTTTTATATAAAACACATTTCTTTTATAATAAGGAAAAAAATTTCATTTTGGGAACAAAAACCTGCTTTAAATACACACTCTCATTTTTACCGAGCTCTAAACGACAGATGTCCTTTGCAAACTACATTATTATACTTTGAATAATATTATCAGGTGGCTGAAAACCTTTGTGTCAAAGGAGTACACACATTTAGGAATAACTGTATCTGCAAATAACACAATAAGGAACTCTCACAGGTTGCCAGACAAGAAAGACCTAAGAACCATTACAAGGTAAACAACTTTTTAAAAACAGGACAAGTAGAAAACAGGCATTTTTCTCCCTCTATATAATAGATGCAATAAGTTTCTAAAAGTTAACTTATATTTCTGATTATTGTTTTTACAACAAATAATTTTGATATATTTGATGAAATTGTGAAAAGGATACCAATAACCAGGATAGGAATAGACGAAACAGTACCAGACAGCCAAGTTCCAAGCAAATTAAGACTCCAATTTGGTCCAGAGATTTTTTCCACACTAGGTAAGATGTTGCATAAAATTTTTCAAGAGAGCCCTTGATGACTCTGAATACTGCTATTACTAACAATTTTAGCACAGACCTAAATCCTAAGAATTTAGTATAACTTGATGAATTAAGGTCAAGTTATAAAAGCGTAAAATTGTAAATGTGTTCTGACACAGTGGCTACAACAATAGGCTCAAATACAGAAACAACTGCGGGGATGGTGCAGTACCAGGTAGCATTTCATTCTGTTATACATGAGTCAAACCGACTTTACAGCACCTAACAGCAACATGCAACACCAAACACAGTAGCTGATACATCACAAAGGGCTAACTTCCTTGTTTTTGCTTGTTTTCTCTGGGGCACCAAAAGAAATGAACACATGTCACCCTTTTACAAAAAGCAGTCATACTTATCCCTAAGAGGCACTGGAGATAATTCCTAAGGGGCACTCAGATAATTCTCCTGAGCTATGTACTTTGCCAGAGGGCAAATGAATCATTAAATCTTAACAGGCCACACAAAAGGTAGCCACGTGGAAGCCTAGACAATCACTCACCCACCATCCTCTGGGATATACACTACACAGAAATTTTGCTCTGGAAGAATGTAATTACAAAGTGTTCTAGTTACCTAGTGTGGCTCTGACAAGAATATACCACAAATGGGATGGCCTTAACAAGCAGGAGTTTATTCTTACAATTTGGAGGCTTTAAATCCAAGTTCAAAGTGCCAGGCCCTAGGTGCTGGGTGAAAGCCCCTCAACCTTGGGGTCCAGCTCTGCCTCCTGCTCCTGGCCCACTGGAGCTAGAGGCATTTCTTCACTCAGACAGCTGTTGGCTGCTGAGACTGAGAAGCCCAAGGCTGACAAGTCAAAAGGCACAGTCCCGATGTTACCAAACCACACGGCAGGCCATTAACTTAAGTCCATTGTAAGTCCCTTAAGTCCATTGTAAATCCCAAGGTTGGCAGAGCATGGCAGACTGCTGAGCTATGACACGGCTACATGCAGGGTCCTAGCGTGCCATACTCTTGAGACCATTCCCAAGGCTTCTCCTTATGTACAGGAAGCAGACCACATCCCAAAGGCAGCTACTCAGTTGCTTATGGTAGATCCCACCATGGAGTTGATTGCCACTCTCATCATGGGGAATAACTACCACCAGCTGCCCAGCCACTCAACCAGGCCCAGCCAAAGTAACACACAAACATAACTACCACACAAAGATTGAGGGTTAAGATCTTAGCCCATTTAAAATCAATGACTGCTTCAGCTAAAAAAAAATAATATATCAGTATCTGTGAGAAAAGCAGGCGGCTGAATGGGCAGAAAAATACCATCGATGAGATGGCACAATTCTAAGCACTCCAAGCTTTTAGTTATCTGTTGCACAAAATCCATGGTGCTTCTCAAACTCACATCTTGGCTATGGACTCTTTTATTGTTAATGGAAAAGAAACTGCATTACATAGTAGTTTTTGGAGCTTTACTCTAAACATAGCCCTTTCAAAGCAGCAGTCCTAGATTTGATGCTGCCCATAAAACCCACTGCCTGAACACTTCCTGTTTCTATAGAGACAACATTTACTGTAAGCTTCATCAGACACAGCATTATTTCAAAGAAACGGCATGTCTCAGTTCTCAGAGCCACACTGATAAAGGAACATACATATAACCAACCTCAGGTTCCCAGTTTATTTACAGCTCTAGCTGTCACATTTTCTTGCCCTATACTGAAGTAATATATTTATAAACTGCTATCTAGAACTTTTTAAAAACCCAGTCAAAAGAACTTGAGTGAATTATTAGTTAAAACAAAAAATTATTTTTATGTAACCTTTCTCTACTTAGGGCAAAGAAGACACACTTGCCTATTACTCCACTACCCAGAAAGCATCTCTTAAAGTTGGCAGTATGATTAAGGGTAAAAAGATAACAATGAGGGACTTCTGGTAAGATGGAGTAACAGACAGACAAGCTAAACAGACCCTCTTCAACAAAGAAAAAAGAAACCAATTGACAGAGATACAGAAGATAATCCTGGAGCCCTGAGGTTTCAAAGAAAGTATACAAAAGTGGATGAGGCACCAACTAGTGGAGAAATCTGAACAAAAACAGTGAGTACAGAGATGGTCAGAGCAGTGGACTATCAGCTACTCTGATGGAACCAACAGCTTGGATATTTCCAAGTGGTTTTGGGACCTAAGAACTGACCTAAAGATCAGCCCCGGTTGCCAAGGAAGGGAAACAACGAGGAGGGAGACAACCTGAGCTGTGGACTTTCAGCTATGCGGAGGGCGCAGCTATTTGATTGTTTACAAGTGGTGACCATTTTGGATATTTAAAGTGATCAAGGATGCAGCCATTTTGAATGCTTACAAGCGGGGACCATTTTGGATTTTAAAGTGACACTATTCTCATTCAGATTCCAGGGACCTAAGAATAGTCTCCGCTTGCCAAAGACAGCAGGGACATACAGGAGGCAGACAATGGGAAAGAAAACAGGTGGTAAGTGTATAAGTGCAGCCAACTAGCGAATAGAGGAGCACAGCACAGTACCTTGCTTACACAGATAACATACAAACAGAACAAAGATAACAAAAATCATGGGCAAGTCACTCCAACATGAAGTCACCAATTAAATATAAACACAAAAATGTCACAATGCCTCGGAGACAACACAGCATCACAGTCGACACGAAAAAGCTAGATAAAGTAGGAAAAACAAGGAACCAGGATACAGGGCCAAAACACATCCTTGAGGAAGAAGCAGCATTGGAATTCCCTGATAAGCAATTCAAAAGAATTATATTTAGGCACCCTCAACAAATTGAGAGACAGATCAAGGAAAACACTGACAAAATTGAGGAAAACACAGAGAAAACCCTAGAACAATTTTGAAAGACAATACAAGAACAAAATGACAAAATAAATGAAAAATTAGAAATGATATAAAATCTACACACAGAAATCCAGAAGATTAATACTAAATTTTCAGAAATAGGTAACATATTGAACGGGCAAAGGTGTAGAATTGATTCTGAAGACAACATTAGTGAGACTGAAGGCAAAAACCTCAATACTTCTTTGGAAAGGATCAGAAAAAAGATCAAAACAAAATGAAGAAAGCCTAGGGTTCATGTGGGATACCATCAAAGGGAA